TGGTATAATGGGCCTGAGCAGAGCAATCAGAGGATAGTGCAGGACCGGGCAGTGTGTCCTTCTGTTGACCATGGGGTCACTATGACTGGACAATACCTAACAGCAGCACAGGTGAGCAGCTGTAGTAGTGCAGTGTAACTGGCTTTAGGCTGTGTAACATCCTGGTAGATGGTTCAAACCCACCAGCCAGCCGCTCAGAGGGAGGAAGCTGAGGCTATCTGCTCCTGTAAAGATTTATTGTCTCAGAGACCTTGAGGGCACAGTGCTCCTCTGTCCTAGGTCACGGATGAGTCAGACTAACTCTAGGGCTTGGTTGGTAACACAGGGGTTAAGTGTTCAGCTGCAGACATAGGTCAGCAGTCCAAACCCACTGGCCTTGGTTGGTGGGATTTTTATGGTTTCTGTCGAGTTGATTTTCTCATAGAATAGAAATATTCAAACAAAATTAGGGTCTTTAACTTATAAATGTGGTCTTGTGGGTTAATGAGCTGGACTGTTAAAAGTCAGTTTGAACTGCAAGGTCGGCAGTTCAAGCTCACCAGCCACTCCTCGGAAATCCTATACAAGGTCACTATGGGTTGGAATCAACTCAATGACACTTAACAACAAAATCAACCTATAACTAGATGTCCCTTCTGAGACAGTTTCTCTGTAACATTGCTTTTCTTTCTACTCAGGTGAAAATGAAATCCTCGAAACTCTAAATGCCATTTCCAGCAAAAACCAGATTTGGCGATCCTACATCGGCATGGGGTATTACAACTGCTCGGTGCCACAGCCAATTGTGCGGAACTTACTGGAAAACTCAGGATGGTAATAGATTTCTTTCTTTCTTTGTTTTGCTTTTATGGACAGATTTATTTTCTCATAGTTTGGCTAAAAGTCCAAATTCACGATGGAGTTCTAAGGGGAGGTCCTGGTCCTGCCTTACCTCCTTCAGCTTCTCGGTCCACTGCTTTGAGTGACGTTCAAGTCACAGAATAGAGCCGAGCTGCCTCCGTGGGGTTCCCAGCCGGTAAATCGTACAGAAGCAGACAGGCACCTCTTTCTCCCTCAGAGCAGCTGGTGGGTTCCAACTGCCAACCTTTTGCTTAGCAACTGAGCGATTTAACCACTGCACCACCAGGGCTCTTTCAGCTTCTAGTTGTTACGTGCCCTCGAGCTGGTTCCAACTCATAGTGACCTTGTATAGGGTTTCCAAAGAGCAGCTGGTGAGCTTGAACTGCCAACCCTGTGGTTCTAGCTGATAACAACTCATTTACTCTATGTAAACCCAAGGCTTACTGGCAGAGTGCTTACTGCAAAAAGAGTTTCCCAGCACTTTACCCGAGCAGGGCAGAGATCAGGCTGGCACAAGGGGCCGAAAGTTGAGTGTCCGGGAGAGGCCTGCCTGTGGGCACGGTTGAGAAGAAGCCATCCAGACCAAAGAACTGGACCCTGTGTTGCCTGATTCCTAATTGTAACCTGTTATTTCACTAATGGACTCCTGGGGTGGCGCTGTAGGACTAGCACTAGACTGCGAACCACCAGTTTGGCAGTTCAAACCCACCAGCTGCTCCTTAGAAACCCTTATACAGGGTTGCTATGAGTCAGAACCAACTCGATGGCACTTAACAACAAAAATAGCAACTGGGCTCCTAATCCATGTCTGTGAATATGTGTGGCCATTGCAACACATTATCGAAGTCAGCAGAGAAGTTTCATGGTATGGCTGATGTCAGAATTGGGTTAAAAAAAAAAAGGTGGGAAATGAGGCTTGACATATCTCCCTCCCTCCGCCTGGAAGGAGTCAGCCTGGGGCTTCTGATCTTGGCTTTTCCTTCCCTTCCCCTTGAGAAGGTCAGACCCCACCTTCATGATCTTTTCACAATACCCAAAGCAAAGAGCCTTAAACGTTAGTGGAGCATTTTCAACACTTTTGGTCTGCTTTTCATGGTTGGTGGGGGGCTTGTCCCTGGGGGCTCATCACTCTTTCCTGGCCATCTTCACACATAGATTTTCATTTAAACATGTTCTGCTGCTTTTAAAAAAAAGTGTTTCATTGTGGTATAATATGTATTTATATGTATGTGTCTAATAAAACACAACATTTCCGGCTCAACATTTTTTGCACATACAATTCAGTGACGTTGGTCATTGTTTCTCTTGTTGTACAACCATGACCATGATTCGTGTTAAAACTACTCCACCACCATTAACAGCAGCTCAGTGTCCCCTAAACAATGATTCCCCCTTCTCATTTCTCTCCTATTTCTGGTTGTTGTTAGATGCCATTGAGTCAGTTCTGACTTGTAGCGACCCTAC